TACATTTTCAAAAGTATTATTATAAGCCTCTGAAATTCATGTACTAAACCATGTAACTCAGTTAATCCGTTTTTGCTAATATATGTTCTCCTGCTGCTTAAGTACAATTAATCTTTTCTGATATTTCATTTTATGTCAGATTAATATTCTTTTCTTTAAAAACTAGAATAATATCTGTAAATAATTAAAGTACACATTAATAAATAAACAGAGATTTAATATATACCAGCTTTGACAGTCTTTCATTATTTTGCTTAGGCTGAATGAAAGTACTTAGTATACAAAGACTTTAGCAGTATATAAAAATAGAGTATTCAGAGCAGGTGATATGAATCAAATATTTGGATATTTTTATGCATAAGACCCGAAGGAGCTAAAATTTAATTAATTCAAATGAAATGGTAAAATTTCAACATAGAAAAATTTTAATAGTTATGATATGCATTTCATTGTGCTGCATCATATTATTTTAAACCTATGACATGGCAGGCTTTATTTGTTGGAAAGTTTTAAAGAGTGGAATCTAAATTCCTCCAATTTTTAAGAATTAATTTGCTTTTAGACCATAAAGCTATTACTCACAGTCATCAGCAGTCACTCACAAGTTGTTCCATTAGGGTGAGTAATTGCTCAGTAAATTGCTGAGTTGCAACATGATACAAACTGAGGAGCTGCATGACAGAACCAGATTTCTAAGTGAACTATAATCCTAAAGAATCATGGCAGCAGAAGAAAGGGTCCTGCTCTAAACTTTTATACTTCTTCTGAATTAAAAAACAGTGTCTTGAATTATAACTTAAAATGCTCTACCCAAAGTAATCCTAAACCTTCCTATTCTACCCTGGAGTCTCTTGTTTGGTGATTAGGAAAAAAAAACAAAAACATTTTAGAATGTTGGCAGCTGTCGTTCAGGATAAAAGGGTATGATCCAAATGTCACTGAATCCACAGATCACCCTGACTTCAATGAACAGAATAGCAGACATTAAGCACTATAATACAAAAGCATTTCTGAAAGGAAAGTGGAAACCATAAGGCACCTCTTATGATCTGACTCTCAGAGTAATTTATTGGAGTAAGAAGTTTATAATGTTTTCTGGAAACTAAATTCAAACAAGGCTATATAAATTAAGAAAAGCCAATGATAAATGGAAATGTTCTTGGAAATAAATATCAAGGTTTTTAAGAGACAGGAAGTGAATTGTGCTTATCTTGAGAGAAACAGGAATTAGGTATTTTTCTTTGAAAAAATTTAATCCATTTAAAAGTCAACCATAACCAGAAATGGCAATTAAAAACTAGTTTACACTGTAAACTATATAAGTTGGTAAAAAAAATGCAATTTTTTACTGAATTTCATTTATAGACATTTTCTCATCCAGCCAGAATAGGAACTGCTTTCCTCATACCATTCTTAGAAGCTGGAATGAGTACTTAAAATGCCAGATGAAAATCCCTTTTTATATTTGGCACATTGTTATCCGACCCTGAATTGAGGTGTCATGTTTTCCACAAGTATAAAAGGCATTATGTTCTGAGCTACCACTGCCAGGTTCTGTTTCAATCATTAATAGAAATGGTAACACACATTTTCCTTAGTAACACGCCCAATATTGGAATTTCTTACTTCTTCCATATTTCTGCTAGTATTACTAAGCTTAACTTGACCAATCCACAGAATTCCCCAGACATCTTGTGGACCTGTTTCACAAGTTTACCAAGAAGAAAAGCCATAATTATGTTACAGAAAGCTTTTTCTTCCTTACAGTGTTTTACCTGACCCTTTTTCCCTTTTTTTATATTGTTCCATCTAGTACCTGCTTTCTCATCTGGACTTCTCCCACATTTTGTTAACAAACAAAATAATCATTCTTTGTAGAGGCAAAACTCCAAATAGCAATTACCATAAATAATGGCAGGAGTTGACAGTGCTCAGAATTCATCTTATCCTTACAATACTGTTTCTGCTACTTCCTATAACTGCAGTAGATAAATCAAAAAAATAAATTTCCCAACTGATAGATAGTTTTCTTCAAGTTAATATTTTCTGTTTAGGTTCAAAAAAATTAAATTAAAAGCTACAATAATAAGGCTAATATGCATTTCGTATCTTGTAAATGATGTTTCAAATAACCTCACGGATTTGTAAAGCTGATTTTAGGAACAAAATGAAAATTGAACAGGAAGTTTACTCCTGTATCAAAGCGTGCCTTGTGTCCTTTCAAAACTTTCCCTTATCAGTAATAAACTACATAAGGATGAAATACTACATGAAATCATGAGTTTTGAGAATTCCAGCTCACACATACTCATCATAAGCTGGCAAAATTAGTCTTATAATATTTCCTCTTTTTTTAGAGCTCTGTAACTCTTATGTGCCAGCTCAGCTGGAAACGCTCCCAACTGCACAGAACCAAGTCGATCCTAATCTAAGGGTTCTAAAGTGCTACAGAAATTACCATTATAGCTTGTTGGCAAAGCCATGCTATGAGGCAGCCAGTCATGAAAACTGAGCAACTGCTTAGAAGTTAACGCCCACAGGGCATTTTGGGAGAACCAACAATGTGCATGCTGAGATCTGAACACGGAATAGCTGAGAGGAAGCCCATGCAGACTGGGAAAACCAGAAAAAGAAAGCCACAGCTGTTGTAATGGAAATCAGAAAATAGAAGTATAGGTAAACAAATGAAGGATCTGGTAGTCAACGTGATGACATTAAAGACTGTAAAAAAGTGGGATGTAAGTGTCCCACATTTTCTATTGCATGGCAATGTGAATTAACTGAAGTCAGATATCGCAGCACTTCAGAATAATGAGAGCTTCCAAATGGAAATGCACCATATGTAATAAATGCACAACACCATAATGATATCAAAACACTTGACAAGAGCAGTGGCTTAATATGGATATTTGCATTTCCCATGTAGTTTTGACTTTTGGGAAAGAAATTTCTTGGCCGTATTTCCTCACTAGTAAAATGGGGAGTATTCTGAAGACAACTTCATTGCTGTTAAAAAAATATTCAGATATCCTGGTAAAAAGAATAACTAACTAGATATTTAATAATTTGTATTTTAATACAAAATTCAGATTACAAACCTAAATAAAATGAAATCTTGACTGTTCATTTACTTAATGTCAACAAAAGAGACGGGCTGTAAAACTATTTTAACATTTAGAGTTTTACCATAGCACACAAGAAAATGGCAACAACCTACATTGCAGATTAACAATATTTGTATTTTTATTTTGTTTAAGAAGATAGTAATACTGTGCCAGACAACTATACCCTCACCTTGACAAACTAGCACATTTCCAGCAAATAAAAAAAGAACAAACGTAATGTTTCCTCTGGTATGCTTCCCCACTTCTGGCAATTAACTATTTTATTTTTAAAACCACATAAGAAACTTCAAATGCTGGAATTTATGGTCTTAGAGTTCCCTTTTAATGTAGCTTGGTCAGCTATCATTTCTCAAGAACATAACCTGTATAATCAAGATAGAAATACTGCTTTTTATAATGACTATAAAGTGGTTCATTCCCAACTCCAGAGCTCAGAATAAGTAGCCTGGCCTTTAATGCTTTGCTGTGTAGCAGCCAAGTGCAGAAAGAAAGTATTTAGCAGTGGCACCTGTTTGTGCTAATTCAAAATGTCCAAAATCTAGTGTACAATTTACCCTCAACCAAACAAAGTAATTTTTGGGAAAACAAAACAAAATAAAAAACAAAACAAAACAAAAAAAAAAAACAGAAGGAAAAAAACCCAACAAAAAAAAAGACAAAAAAATCCCACAAAATTTATGCCCTATTCTCTATGATTAATTGCACAACCACATTCATAAACGACTTTATTCTGGCAATTTTTCATCTATGCTTTAGAAGACTGATGTGTTTTATTTTCAGTAAGTAAGATACACAGGAAAATGAACATAACTGAAAGAATATTTGGTCTTTGAAGGCATTTTTTTAGCACCAAAGATTATAAAACCCTTAGAAATATGATTGATTTGTGCCACATCCTGTGTTGTTACGTTTGGAAATCACACTTCCTTCTAATTATATTTTTTAAAGTAATATATTTAAACTAAATGATAGAAAATGTAAAAGAGTAATTATATTCACAGCACAAATTCTATTACAGTTAGTCTTAACAGTTTTCTTCTGTATTTTGGAGATTCATATAAAACTCTGAAAGTCAAAATGTTTATTTTAAAAATGAGATAAACATGAAATACATGAAATACAGTACAAGGAACTATTTGCATGACACTTCACCAGCATGTCTTCCTCTACATGTAAGAGACAGCTAAATATACGCAAGAAGTTGATAGTCATCCTGGTTCTAAAACTTCTGTCCAGTAACAGGTATAACAGAAGATTTTAAGATAACAAGCAGAGAAACAGGAACTTTTAGGTACTTTGAAGAATTGATTATTTTATACGTTATAGGCAGCCTACCAGGAGAAATTTGTAAAGTAATGCCCTTGAAACAAAGATTTTAAAATAAAATACCAGTAAGAAGTCATGTTTTAGTACTGACTTTCTGATGTAAGCATAAAATGCTTCATGATGGACTCAAAAGAAGAGAAGCATGAGCTACTGAAAAGGAAACGTCTAACTCAGCATGAAAAATTCCCTGCTTAGTGACCAGCTGACTTGTATTTTAATGAGTGTATGAGATGCTAACCCTCAAAGTTTTACCTACTTATCTAAAGCTACTGAATGTTGTCATTTCCTCCTTAATCTATGTTCAGCATTTTTTCTACTATTTTACATTCAAAGCATTTGAACTGGAGAAATCTAGACTCAAAGGAACTATATTTCGTCATAATTCAAAATGTTACCTTATCATTGGATTGGAGAAAAAAAAGGCATACATACCATAAAACAATCTTCAAAAAGTCTTAAATGTTCTTCTCATTAATATCATTCTTAAGTTAAGGATATTATGCATTTATACTTAGGCACAGAAAATAAACCCAAAACAGTCATATTTACCTGAGAGTTACAAGAAATTCAGAAGCTGGAGTGACTGGAAACATCAGGCAGCTGCTGTGTCCTTTTCCAAACAGAAACTCAAGCCTAATAGTACAACCCAAATACTATTCTTCATAAAATATGAAGAGAAGAGGCAGCTGAAGTACAAACTGTTTGGGGGAAATGAAAAAACAAAAACTGAGAGAACACAAACTTTTTCATCCAGAAAAGAGGAAACCTGGTTTAGATCTGAACTGCTTTTTCACTGCATCCCATTGCTATCCTTAAGAATTCTAGAGAATTACTTGAGCATCATGACAAAGCCATTCTATCAGCACAAAAACCTGAGAGCTGTGCTGCCAATTAAGACAGATACAACACTGTAAACCACAGAAATGAAAGGCTCATATCTCCTTTTTACAGATTTCTTCCTGAACGCCATGTCTATCCAGGATCTACACAAACCATACAACATGAAGCTACAACTCACAACCAAAGTTATGTTTCATTCCGATTTCTTCAGTTCTCATAATCCCTGCTAATAGCCTGATAGCCCAACCAAAGACTCGAACCAAAAGTCTGTTTCAAAATGCAATGCAATGACATCTTTAGTGGCACAACAGGGAAAAATGAAAGTTTCTTAAAACCATTCTCTTCATAGTTGAGCTCTGGCTTTTGACACCCATTCTACTTAACAGTTGCATATTTAGATACCATTTGCCTTCTCTAATAATGAAGCACAGCAGTTCCTTTAAAAGAGCTTTAATGCACAAAAATTTATAAAGATTTTGTTACACATATACTTTCTGTCTACATTTTGGTGTAGCACATCATTTCCATAGTTCTTGAACTGCTCTAGGAAGTTCAAATTTATGCCTTTGGGTGGTATGGTGGCACTTTTTTCATACAATGTACTAAAATCATTGGTCTGACACAGTTTAGGCTCTATACAAACAAAATTATTTGAGTACATTAAAAGATTGTTTATTCTACCAATTCTTAATGAGTTCAAAATTGTTTCATTGAGGTGTTTTGCCTTTTCTAGTAGTTGAAAATACTACTCCTATCTTAGAAAATAGTCTAGCATACAGACTTGTATGTCTGGATTTCCAGAGAATGGAATTACTGGTCAGGGATTAAATATCAATCAGTATCTCTGCACATAACAGACATTCTCCATATAACATGTATTTAAAAGCATCAAAAGTAACTCAGCTACTTAAGTGATTATGAAATTCTAGTTTTCTTTCTCAGTTCTTGAAAAAACTAAAAAAGGTTATGTTAAATCTGTACCCCTTTGTTATGCACCACTAGATAGCTGCTTCTCGTAATGGGGATAGATTCCCCTTCAGCTACAAGTCTGGTATCAGCCAATTCTGCTGTCACATTATCACATGAACATGCTTGTTCTGCTTAACCAGTCCATCTAATCACTGACAGCAAAGTTCTGCCCAGAAGGGAAGTAGGCATGACCAACAAGCTTACAAGCAAATTCAATCTGAGTTTTGCTGGAAACATAGTAAGTTTATTTACAGTATTTGTTGCAGTCCTCTTTGGATATCTAACATAACTCAACTATTAAGAGTATTAAAGAAGATTCCAAAATAAGTCATGTGTGTACTTAGAGGCATTACTAAACCCAGAAACGTGTCAGACCTCAGGCACACACAGCCTGCTGACAGATGAACTCTAGCAAATCTTGCCCCCCAGAAGCTTAAAAAGTTACCACCTCCAGCTGCCCATTCCATTCCTCAGCTAAAGGTTCCTGCCCCTCTCTCTCCCTTGCTGAAAATCAACAGGAAGGAATGTGCGTATTGGTACACTCCTCAGTGCAAAATCTGGCAATTTCAACTGTTGATAAGTTAAAACCAACCTGTTGGATTTTACGTTGAAAATAACATTCACACCCATCCCCTATAACCCATTCTGCAACAAGGCAAATGACCCCCTGGAAAAAGTCGTAGCAAACTATGAGGGGAGAGCAATGTCAAGAAGCACATACTGGCTGCCCCTTTGTAAGGCTACTTAGGCAGAATTTTTGATGGCCTTATGTACTGATACAGGTGTATCAGTGAATCTTGGGAAGAATCTCCTAATTTCGCACCTCTTTCCCTTTGTATGCTTCCTTTCTTGGGTCCAAGTGATTTCTTTCATTGCTAACCATGTCTACAGAACTCTGTAAACTAACTCTGCAACTAACTAAACCTCTTCCAATTGTGGTACCACAGAACCAATGCTTTTGGTATTTCAACTAGCTTGACAAGCTAACTGCTCTTTCTGTAGTAGGCAGTGCAACCACCTTATTAACCTAAATTCGTGTAACTAAACCTACTATTTTTGCAGTTTTTAATAGTTAATCTTTTCTTCTACTAACAGCAAAAATGTCACAGGTTCTTATTAAATAAATGCCTCTAAATAAAAACAATATTTGAGCTATGACTCTTTCATCATCAATTTGAATTCCTTTTAAAATTGTTAATTTTATTCTACATTACAGGCTGTCTTTAAATTTTTCTTTAGCTGTTTAACTTTTTTCTTCAAAAAATAATTTTTGTTTCTCAAAACAGAGAAGTCATCCATTTACTTTTATTCCCCCTTTCTTCAAACTTTGTCGGGTTTTCTTCTTGACTAAGTAGAAGTGGTCAGGTGGTTTAATTTTTCTTCTTTCCATGTAAAGCATATTTTGGTACCTAAGAATGTTTTTAATAAAAGGAAATTACACAGTCAATAGTAGGGATGAGAGTTTAAAGTTTATTCTGTAAGCTTATGTCATTATATGCTGACTCCCATGGCTAGTGCTCATAACAGAAAGGCTTTTTCCATCCACTAAAATTGGTATCAGCTAAATGATATCACCATGACAGAGCTAGTAAAATATCTTTTTCTTCAAGCTGAGGCACGACAAGGGTCTGCTTGGTGCTTTTAGAAGAGAAATAAAAATACCTTGTGATGAATACGTGCAACTGGCTGAGTGAATGAGGTTAAAACCCAGCTGAGGTGGAGCAGTAGCACTCAGGCTTCTAGCCCAGAATGGAAAGCACAGTGAAGTGAGAAAGGTTAAGCTAAATCAGAAACGTTTGAATGAATTTACCTAACCTGGCTTTATAGGCCATGAAATGGGCAAACCTCACAGAAGCCAAAAATTAATTTATGTTAGGCTCCAAAACATACTGACTTTGGAGCCAAGAATATTTGGTTCTCTTTGTGATGCAGCTTTTATTTTGCCATATATTATGCCACTAAATGAGACAATGTTGTATAATATCAACTTAATTCTGAAATCAGAAATTAAAAATTCCCTGAGATTTTCTTTCTAAAGGATTCACAATAATACTACAAAGACAAGCAAAAATTTCTTCTTGCTTATCTTCTTCTGCATACGGTGTAGATCCAAAGTTTAAAAAATGGAGGTGAGGAGAACATTAGAATCAAATGCAGTCCAAAAAGCCTCTTCTCTTAGTCACAGCCTTTCCACACCAGCTGTAAAAATGAGCCATCTAGAAGAGGTGTTAACTGAAAGGCGGCTGTTGCAAGAGACAGCTGATCATGGCCACATTTATTTTAATCTTTATCTTCCTACCCAGAGCTGCCTAAGAGGCTGTGTGCTACTACGGTGTCTTAAAGAATCAACTTTTCAACAATTAATAAAGGACAAATAGAAGAATTCATGGTAAAAAAAATCAGGAAGTACATACATGTCCCTAGATAAAAAAAGAAACAAAAAAAAACAGGTCCTCATCTATCCAGGTGCCAAAGATGCCACAGGCACCTAAACTTTCACCTGAAAAATTAGTGGGAAAATTAAGCCCCAAGAAGGCTAAAGGTGCTGGGCTGAAGTTTACACCTCCCTTTCACTTCAAAGTCACAACATACACCTCAAAGCTTCCATCTGTGTGTTCCATGTTAGAACCAATATGACTTCAGTGGGAAAACAAAGAACTCATAGCAATCTCTGCTGATGGTCAATGTCAACACTTGCTATTTTGTTTACAGATGATGAAAGGAATCGCTGGGTAACTTGAAGATTAGAGTAGAAACACATCAACCAAAGAAAGCAAGCTACTCTCTCTCAAAAGACTACTAATCAGCAGCTGCTGACAAGGATCAATCCTGTTGAAGTGCCGGCACTATAAAAAAAAAGAACACATGTTTAATAGATCAAAGAGTGCACAAAAACTCACTTTCAAAGTCAGATAATTTTAGGGTGAGGACTGGAGAAGGATGGCAAATTCTACATTTCAGACCTCCTGCCAATCTTATCTCTGCATTTTTTTCAATGAATTTGTAATGAAAAATATGACATTTCTTGAAGTAATAGCCAGACTGAACACTGACATGCCTTGTGCTCTGCTGGTCTGGGCTTAAGGATGCTGCTTGGGTGTAATGAATACCATTCCACTGCATCTCGGAAATGGTCTCCCAAACATTTCAGCTTCCCCAAGGTCCTTTAAATTTGTTTCCATAATTATACTATTTGCTCAATTCCCAGTAACACAACTTATTTAGCTGTCAGCGACTTTTGACATTAATATTATGTCACTATTCTTCACGAAATATCAGATTTTATATCTTTCAAAGAACAATCTAGAACTTATGAGCAAATAGCTATTGTGAATAATTATCTCCCTTTCTTCTAACACAACTGGCTTATTTCAAGATATTTTCATATTTTGATTTTGCAAGATTTCAGTCATTAAAAAGATATAGGTTTCTTTATTCTGAAACAGTAATAGATCAGCCCCTGAATAAATTATACCATCTGTCTTCCCCTGTTTACTGTGCTTTTATGTGACATTCATTTAAGGTTTCTACTAAAATAAAACCAAACCTCCACAAGCAATAGCCATATTTATTTAATGTCTTAAAGACACATGAATTTGGCAAAGCCTTTTGATTTTGGTCTTTTGCTGGTGCCTAACTACTGCTTTGAAAATTTCACTACTGTAAGTTCTGTCCAAGAACCATTTTTTTTTTGTAGATATGAGAAAAAACAGTGTTCACATTTGAACTATCCTTTTGAAAGCAGCAGACATAACTTCTGAAATTATTTGGTTCCTCAGCTTATAGTAAAAGTTCCATTAGTGCTTCTAAGTCTTCAACTATTTTGGGGAAAAGTACCCACTTTTCAGTAAAAATAATCCTAGGTTTCAGTAACAAGTTCCAGACCATAAACATGACAATAATTAATATTTGGAATAGCAAGCCAACAAAAATCTTTACACAAGAAACTCTGTGCTGCTGAAACTCTTATGAAATAGCAGAAAGGCCAAGAATTAGGAAATGCAAACTGGAAAACAGCCTACCCTCTTTGGGTCTGTGACTGATTTCAACGTGGCAAATGCACAGGCACACAGAAACCAACTGCACAGTGGAACACAGGTTCCCAAAGGAATGTCCCCAGCATCACATCCTACAGGCTAAACAGACATGTGCTGCAGGTACTCAGTCTGGGGGCAAACAAAAAACCTCATTATGATCCTTCTCCTTTTCCATTTCCTACCTTTATCTGCAAAGACTTTTCTTCCCTGACTCATAGACCTGCCTCTTTGCTACAGGGAGGAAAGGAAAGAGTACCATCATTACAGAACACAGAATGGCCTGACAGTCCCCATCTTCTCCTCCCTATCCCTTCAGTCACCATGAGGCTTTCCACCCTTTCAGATTCCTGCAGCTGAGCTCCTGCTCCTACTCCCAGTATTTGCAGCACTGGAATCTTAGAGCTGGGAAGAGAAAATTAAACATAACTGAATCACTGCTGACATCTGTTGGCAGCTCTGACCAATCCCCCTTAATCGAGCCTGGTATAGTAAACACAGATGAATACAGCGGTTGGGAACACCAAAAAAGATCGGCCCCAAAGCATTGTAAAAGCTCTCAGTCCCCTGGGTTCTCACATGGATAATGCTGCAGGTCCGGTGCGGAAAAACGCCAATCACTTGTTTTTGAAAATTTTAAAAGTTTATTAGTAATAAAACAGTTATAAAAATAGTAATAAAATTAGAGTAGTAAAAATTTGGACAATGAGGATTAGGACACTACAAGACAATAAAAAGCAGAGAATTATGGATGTCCAGATGTTTCTGGGCAATAAGCTACCAAAAACATGCCTTGTGAACAAAGGAATAACCCTTAAAAGCAATAGCCTGTTGCATATTCATATATCTCATACATGATACATAAATTCCTTGCAAATTAAGAACTTTTCTGGTTTGTGTCAACTTCTTCCCCTTAATCCTAGTGGTTCCATAAAGATGGAGAGAAGGTGGAAAAATGATTGCCTTTTCTGATAAGGAGGCAGTAACTTTAGATTTCCTGTTGCTGTCATCTCTGTGCAAAGACTTTCTTGATCATCTTATCCCTTTCTTGAGCTAGTAAAAAATATCACACATCACACAGTTTCTATTTTAACATTATGTTCTAACCTAAAACTCTATTTAACACGCTGCTTAAAAAGGATTAATACAGTATTACAAAATAACCCTCCATAATACATAAACTATTAGTGAAGAGCCAGTCGTAAAATATGCATTTTTCACAACCGGAAAGCAGGAATGGGCACCAAAGAGGGGCCCCAGGAAGAGTTAGGAATCACCTCACTACATAAACTGATCTTTGCTGGTACCAATTTAAACTGAAATTACAACCAAATTGGTGGGGTAAGGTGAAAGGGTGAGCCAACGGTGTAAGATCGCCACACCAAAGAAAAAGATACCAGGAACAAGCCCAGCTGTTAAAGGAAATTTCTAGGCAAGGAGGTTGACATAATGAGCACGTGTGTACCAAAGTGGAAATGAAGAGGAACCTCCTATGGGAAACAAGGGAGGGAACGGCAAATAAGAACACCAGTGAAATCAAGACACAGACACCAAGTGAAAATACAAGCCTCCGCCTAAACGTTATTTGCGCTTTACTATACGAATGCAAAAATCCAGCAGAATGCCAAATTCCCAGTGCGCGGTGAGGGACTGCCCTGCCCGGCCGCCATGCCGCGCCCGCCCCGCGCCAGCCCCGCCCCGCGTCTGGCGGAACAGGGAAGGGCGGTGAGGGGCGTGGCCTCACGCGAGCCCGCCCGGACGGACCGAGGCCACGCCCCTCGCGGCGGTCGCGCGCGCGCCCCCCCCGCCCGCTTCCTGCCGCGCCCGCCCCGCCCGAGCAGCGGCCGCAGCCCCGGCCGGGCCCAGCGGGGAGATGAACACGGTGCTGTCCCGGGCCAACTCGCTCTTCGCCTTCTCGCTGAGCGTGATGGCGGCGCTCACCTTTGGCTGCTTCATCACCACCGCCTTCAAGGAGCGCAGTGTGCCCGTCCGCATCGCCGTCTCCCGGGTCACGCTGTGAGTGCGGCGGGGAGAGGGGAGGGAATGGCGGGGCCGGGCCGCAGCAGCTGCCCGCTGGGGCGGTGCGGGGTGCGGGGCCCGGGCCGCTGAGGGGCCGCTGAGGGGCCGCTGAGGGGCCGCCGGCGGCGGGCGGGCTCCGCGCGGCGCTCGGGCCCGGCCTCCTGCGCTGCGGGCGGGCCAATGCCGGAGCCCCACGACGGCGCGGCCGGGCGGGGGCCGGGGCGGCGCTCCCGGCGGAGTCGAGCTGCTGCTGCCCGCAGCTGTGCGGAGACAGGGACCTACGGGAACGAGGAGTTTATCCTATGAACATCCATGCGATCGTAGTACATTTTCCTTTTAATTAGTAGTTCTCTTTGGTTTCTCCATTGATAACCTAGCATACTTTCTGTCCTATGGCCCCAAAGTGGGATGGCTTCCTCTCTGCGAAATGCTCCAGGTGTAGGACGCAATACCACATCAAAACGTATTGCCTACACAGATAAAATGGGCTGATGCAAACTTGTGCTGGGGGGACCTTTTTTCCCCAGTTTTGGTGTTGATTCGGGGTGGGGTTTTTTCTCTGAAAGGAGACTTCCTCACAGAGAACTTCCACATGTGTGATGTGGAGCGCGGTAGTTTCACAAGCATTTGAGCAGCTGTTACAGCCACCTGTGAGTGGAGGTCTTTGCTCCCGTTTCTGCCACGTGGTTCTTTACCAGAGCTCCACAGGAGAATCTGGCTCGTAGGACACTGCACTGAACTGCTTTACCTCAGCTCATGTTTTTTTTTTGTTCGGTTAGTTTTGGCTCAGATTAGCGAGCTAAAGCAGCACACTTTTGGAAGTGTTTAGTGCCAGGTTGGATGGAGCTCTGCACAACTTGATCTAGTGAAAGGTGTCCCTGACCATGTCATGGAGGTTGGAACTTGATCTTTAAGGTCCCTTCCAATCCAGGCCATTCTGTGATTTGGTGATGATTCTGTGGAGTTTTGGAACCACCCCAAAGTGGCACCAGTGGATGCCTAATAGCAGGACTTGAAAGGAGACATATATGCAAATAAAGGGAGTGCCATCACCTTTCAGACTGGTTCAATACCACACGAAAAAAAAGAACAAAACGTGTATTCATGCTACACTGAGGATTGCAAAAGCATAAACTTGGCATAAAAGCAAGTCTTTGAGTATTATGGTGAGCTCAGCATATACAGGGCAGCATACTAATGCCTGATTTGGGTGAAATCTGTATTGCCAGTCCCTTCTGTGATGCACAGATCTGGTGTTATTGGGAGATGCTATACCTAATCTGCTTCTCTGGAATGTCTGAGAAGTTCTGTAGACCCCAAGCTTAAGGCCTGCTACTCCCTCTGACTGATAATGGTTAAAAGGTGAAGTCAAGTGCTTGTTAAGGTTTACTACTTAAAAATAAAATACTTTATGCAAAGAGATGGAAATTCATACCAAAGCTTAAATTGTGAAAATTTTGTGGTGCTTTTCTTGACCACTATTTCCAAAAGTGTTTTCTGCACTTGTAAACTTTTCTTTTTTGAGATTGCTATACTTGGTTTTAATGAAATAATGTTTTAATTGAATAATTTCCGAATAAGTATATGGAATAAATATAACTATGAAGTTCATAGTTCATTAAAAAATTTGTTCAATGAGCTGTTAAGGTTCATAATTGATGGCCAAGCTAATTGCTTATGGTATTCCTCTTTGTAGATAGTAACTTTGGTAAATTGATAAGCTTTATGAATACATATGGAAATGTCTGCTGTATGTCTGTTATTTTCCAGTTGCTCTTTCTGTTGTGGTTTAGTGTGGCAACGCGAGATACTGTTCCAAATGTAGGTTTATAAGAAAGCCTTCTAAAATTATACAATTTTCCAGAATGTAGAGGCAAATAACTATTTTCTTCATGCTGTTATTTAAATACATCACAGGACTAAATCTTGAAATTTGTGTGAACTAGGCATGTAAACTGTTGCATTGGAATAGTTGGAGCACAAGAGGCTTTGTTTTTTCAAGGACAGTTGAGGAATAATATTGAACATCGTTGCCAGCAGACTGCTATGCTGATGGTGTCCCAACCAATTTTACATATATGGGGATGCTAAAACATATTTTACTAAAATGAAATATAGTCCAGTTTAGATACAGATTTTTGTTAACAGGAAAAAGTCAATAGGCTACTTAAATGTCTTAGACATTGTGGTGGCAAGGCCTGACACTTAAAATCGGGGCACCATAATTTCTGGAAGGTAGGTATTAGTTTGTAATGTTGATTATGTTTTAGCCAGAAGTATATAAAGCAAATAAGGAAAATATGTAATAAGAACCATAATTTACGTAGTGTGTAAGATACAAATAATGAAAACACAAATAATGTGTTGTGTTTTGTTTTCTCTTAGAAAAAATGTAGAAGATTTCACTGGACCTAGAGAAAGAAGTGATCTGGGATTCGTCACATTTGATATTACGGCGGATATCCTTAATGGAAAAAATGGTTTGCAAACGTTTTGGTATAAGAACACTTTGATGCTATTTTTGTTACTTTATAGTCTTCAGATATTCAGGACTTGGGGAAAACTAGCTATTTGTCTTAAAATAAAAATTTAAAGCAGCTAAAAATAGTATTTTGCATAGCTATGGCAGTGAAATAGAACTTAACCCAGCTGTTTGGACTCTAGTAGATTACAAGTTGTTTAATGCCCGTTTTTAAAATCAGTCTCTATTGTGAAGTGCACTGTATCTAATAATGAGGAGTGCAGTTTAACATCTAGACATTACTACTTCTAAGCAAAGTTTGTGTCAGTGGTTTGAGGAGTGAATTAATGGTAGGGTTTATATAGCATTCTGTTTTGAATGTCATACCTAATCTAAGGAACTGCACCTTTCAAACTCACTTTCTTGTCAGGCTCTCAGAGTCCTGACTATATAAGAGTTGCATAGAAGTACCTGTCAGTTTCTAAAAATAAAAAAAGCATTGTAATCCTTTATTTGCTTAGATGTTAAACACTCTAACCTTTAGTATTGACTAGTATGAAATTCTTTGGGAAGCATACAAAAGATGAATCACATTGGTTCCTGGCGCCTTTCTCAGTTGCTGTTGCAGTTTTGCATTTTTTCTTTTGTATTTCTTTGCTTCCCTGCTAGTCTGGATTTGGGCTCTTGAAAGAGTTTTTCTGCAGAAGTCAATACCAAATAATAGGTGGCATGTTCAGATGATTACACTAAACCATGTTTTGCAGCTGGTCTGAGAATCCTGGGATTTTTCCCTGTCGGCTGGTTTTTATCACTGTTAGGCAAGACACTGATCACTTTTGTGTCTTGGTTTCACTCTTTTGAAGAACTGTGTTGTGTGAGCAGACCACACAAAATACGACTCTTGATACAAATGTTAGATAAACAGCTAATCAGATTTTTGCAAGTCTGTCTGCATGGGAATAAGAGGATTTTTTTTAATCAACTGGCAGCAGGAGAAGTAAGCTCTTAAGTCTGAGTTTTACTTCTGAAATGCTTATACATATTAAAATCGGAGACTGAAATTATAAAGTAGATGCATAGACTTATACACATTATATATAGAGAGAAGCAGAGCAAGGCAGGACAGGACCTCTAAAAGAAATGTTCTTACACAAGGATTAGTCTGCAATATGTGGGCATAAAGATTCCACATTTGAATGACTTGTACTAGTAACAGCCTTTTTTTGGTTTTGTTTGTTTTTTTAATGATTCCGACAATCTCTCATGCCTTTTATAAATAAAGCGTGCAATATTTAGAGCTGCAAAAGTCTGGTAGGGTTTTTTGTTCAAAATTTGTGAAGTCATACAGGTATGTGGACTGTCCTGACTACCAGAAAGAAGTTTTTAGTCCTAGGAGAAGTTAAGTAAAATGATAGAAAAAGAAACTAGGCAAAGGAAAGGGAAGCATACAGTTTTCACAAACTCCTTTAAGTTTCTTTAATTAATTGCTAACTTTTGCAAGTGGTAAGAAATCCTATTAAGGAGAGCTTCAGAATCTTGTTTGATATTTTGACCCAGATGACAAAAAATGTTCAAGTAAAATTTTTCTACCTATTCTTGCAGTGACAGCAGTTAAATATTTACGTTGTTCCTTTCTTGCTCTTGGAATTAGTAGCTTAAAAATATATTTGTCTTGGGATGAGTGGAAGAAGAAAAAATTGATTTTGAGGCTGGTTAGGGAATTATTCTTTGAGATAATGCCAAATAGAATACAAAAGAGGAATAGGAAATAAAAGATTACAGCTAATCTCTATTGTGAGAATAGAATTAAAAAGTCTTTTCCTTAGCAGTCACACGTTACTGTTAAATAAACAGACAACTGTTTAGAATCCCAGCATTATTATACTGTCTCAAATGGCAGTCACCAGTTCTTTACTGTTGATCAAAAATTTGAGCAGAGTTTTGTTCAAGTCTAATGAGCTTTTGTTGTTTTCAGCAGGGAATCAAATTTGCTAATTTTTTGAGTCCCTTCCAATATGGAATACTTCCCATATAGGCTCTTTGAATTTCCTACACTTTACCAATTTTGTATTTATATATTGTTTAAAATTATTGCATTTGGATACAAAGGTTCTCTTACAGTATAAAAAATTGCCTTGAGGATACTTAGGGAAAAATTCTGTTCAGATTTTTTTGTTAAAGGTTTTATTATAGATTGTCTAGCAGAGAATTCTGGTTGCTAGTTTACAGTGTCAAACAAAGAACTCTTAAATTATTGGAGGAGAAATAGCTGCTAGATTTCATAAATAGTAAAAATAAATACCTACCAGAAAATTCTTCACTTTATTATGATTAAAATATGTGTTCAAGCTGCTGGCAGTGCTCTGATTTATGAGTAAGATGAGGTATGTCAAAAGGTAAGAGCTCACTGTAATGATTGTAGACCGCTTAGATCTAGTAAAAATAAAACAAGGTTATATAAGTACAGTATGGTATTTTTCTTAACTTTCATACATCTGCAGAGTATATTTGATTGGAATGTTAAACAATTGTTTCTATATTTGTCTGCAGAATATTCAACGAAAAACAATGTAAGTATTAAAAAGAGGTTTGAAGCAATTACCCATTTTTAGTACTGCGGCTATTTTTAAACATTCTGTAGTTCTGCTGAGAAGAGTTAAGGCCACCAGCATTTCCTACTAGCCTGCGCTGGTTTTACTGGCCTTCATGATTGTTTTCTTGACAGTTAAACTGTAGGCTGGGAAGTTCACCTGCATAAAACCTAACTTGATATATGCCCGATATAAGTGGGAGAAAAATAGCATGCTTTGTGTTCCAGTATACTTACAATAGTATACTGTAAATGAGTTTTTTCACCTTTTCTATCCATTTTCCTTTTTTTTCTAAATTTCTGTAGTTGACTGCTGTTAGAAACAGAGAGTGGCTTCTGGACTGGCCTGATGTGGTGTGTGTTTTGTTCATAGATCACAGTTGACCCTACCAGTTACTGTAGCCCCATAATTCATTTACATTACCTTGTCATACTTCTCAAATAAGTTGCCTTGCTCCTTTAAATTGGTTGCTACTGAACCTTCCCTTTGGGATAGCTGAAAAACCTTTTTACTGATCTGATAAAAGCTATATGGAACAGCCTTTAAAAAAATTAATGCAACACCATGCTGCCATGGTACCACTGAATTCTAGTTAAAGCTTCTGTGGTCACATTGCAAGGATATGGTGAAAGCTTTGGGGTTTTCTTAACTTGCTGTACAAAACTGGTCTTTCTTTTGTAACTTGCTTTCTTTTTAAGTACTTTAGTTATATTAAACAAGATGGTGGATATTGTGTTTGCACTAGAATAGTTTTTAGAGTTGCAGTGTTTTTATTGTATTGTTCCATATTTTAGATTTTTCTTCCACATAAATCAACACTTCTTACAAATACTGAGCAGTATTTTTCTAAATTGTTCTATAAATTGCTAAGACTGTTTAGCATCTACTTAAAAGAACTTTACGCTTTAAAGTGTAAATTCCAGTAACGTAAGAACTTGGGATCTCACTCTTTCAACTGTTAATTTTTTGGGGGGTTATGCTTGCAATTCAAGTAGAGATTTCCACTAAAGTTGGAAAAATGGTAAGGACGTAAGCAGAGTCATGATAACTCAGTTTATTTGAGACAAAGTCTAAATACTGCTTTAAAACTACTACTACCTTTGCAGTTCAAAAGGAAACACCTTTATGCTTTGTAATTCTTCTAAAGCATATGACTTTTTTTTTTTAAATGTCTTTCTTGTGTTTTAAGGTGTTCCTTGTTGTTTCCATTTATTCTGTGCCACAGTTCACTTTGTAGTAGTGTTACATTACCCCATTATGAAGCATTATTTTGTTAAATTAGGTATGTATTGCAAGCATGTACTTCAGGGGTTTTAGATGAATAGTGCAATGAAGGCCCAGTGTCTGAATGTGATCTGGTAAGGTACCTTGCTGACTTAATTACAATTGTGATTTTAGGCCCTAAATCAGGTGGTCCTCTGGGACAAGATCATGTTGAGAGGAGATAACCCAAGGCTGTCCTTAAAAGACATGAAGTCAAAGTACTTTTTCTTTGATGATGGAAATGGTCTCAAGTAAGTAAATATTTGTTTCATTACTGGTATTTATGGTATCTTGATTTACTTACATTCTTTGCATTTAATACGTTCATTGGTGTGGTAAGGTGTTCTGTCAGATACTCTGTTAGAAGATGGCCTTGGGATAAGATATATGTATTCTGTAGACTGGAAGTTGCACTGCTATTATGAGCAACATGTCTCTGGGTTTCTGCCTTCAGCCTGTGTAAAATTGGTTCTTTGATGCACTCAACTCCAAAGGAGTCAAGTAAACAAAATGTAGGCAGTAACTACCTAAAATTAAACAGCTTTTTGTTTCTGGACCAGATAAACAATCTGTAACCTAATGTATTTAATACTAGTAACTGTTAATTAAATAGCTTGCGTATTTGTGCTGATAGTCTTTGTTGCTTTTGCAGGGGAAACAGGAATATCACCTTGACTCTCTCCTGGAATGTTGTACCAAATGCTGGCATTCTACCTCTTGTAACAGGATCAGGACATGTGTCTGTACCTTTCCCAGATAACTATGAAACAACAAAAAGTTATTAAATTATAATGCTGAATCATAAGCAAAATATTTTTATACTTGTATATTGTGGATACATTTTATGGCAGTTTCTTCTTGCATCCCGTGCAACTTTTCACTGAATGGAACTTAATTTCCTCAGGATAGTAGCACAGGAAAAGGAAATGAAAATTCAGGGGTTTTTTTGGTTTTTTTTTTTAAGTAAAACATTGAAGCTGAAACTTGAGGGAAAGGTAAATTGCAGAGTAATGGTTTTGAGGGAGAAACTGAGGATTTTTTTTTCCTGGCCATTTAAGTATAGATCTCCTTTTCTTTTAAATAAATATTTTTAAACCAGAAGATAGTCTTCCTGTGTTTGGACTTTCTAAGTACTGTGACATTTATTTTGTGTAGAACTCAAATATACCTTCTGGAGTTGGTTTCTGGAAGTGTGAAGGAAACAGCTGTTCCATTTTAGGGCATTTTTTTTAATCCATGTGCAGTATGTTACAGTAGGCTAAGCTTGGTCCTTTCTAGGACTGCCAGCAGCTACTTGGAAAACTGATAGTTCATTATCTGTCAGTCAGCCTCAAATCTTGAGTGCCACTGATGTAGCCCACATTCAGTTCTGTCTTACAAATCATTTTAATAACTGCTTGCAATGCAGCAAACTGGAAGAATAAAAAGAAATCTAATCAGTATGAGTCTTATTTTTTAAGCATAAGACATAAGGTTAAGTCAGTAAGAAAAGTAAAAGCTTTAGGTAAAGAAAGGCCTTCTGAAATGGAATCTCTGTTTTTTTATTGGGATCTGTTCATCAGGAAGAATGAACGTTCTTGTTCGAAGGGGCTGAGACAACTGATACCAGAGGGGACCTTCCACAGCAAGGAATAGGATAGATGTTCCCTAAACAGTGTGCATAGACCTTCCCATAACAGAGGATTTCCCCGTGGTAAGATAGATAGAGTAATTGAGGCAGATTTACCAACTTGAGTGTCAGTGAGTCTACATGCAAGGCTTGCTGAATTCATGATCCAGGAAAGGTAGCAAGCAGCATGCAGCAGCTTCAGGCAGCACCTCTGTGGAAAAAGCGGCCTCTCTGTGGCTGCACATCCCCCTGTGTGTGCTCCTTCCCTCAGCTACAGCTGGGAATGCTGTTGGGGTTGGGAGGAGGGAAGGAGCAGGGTACCAGGATCACCTCGTGGCAATAGGATGGTTTGTAGTGATTGTGCATTCAGGCCATCCAGGAGATACCCAGGAGCACGAGCTGCTATCGACTTCCTGGCACAGTCCCTAATTTACATGTGTCTCTTCAAACAAAGCATGACAAGGGAATTCATTGCCAGACAGGGAGTGGTCTGGATGTACTGGGGACTTGGGAAAAGAGGAAACTAAAACTCAGGGTTTAATACTGTAAATCAGAAAAAAGGTAATAGGAAAAATGGTGAGAACTGCATTATGAAAACCCTTACAAAAGTAAACAGGCAGAAGATAGGAGCAGAGTATCCCCTTTTGTTTTGACTTCACCTAGTTCCCTGATTGATTTTGAGGGAACTAACTTGCTTTTAAAAAGGGATCTTTAATATTTGTAAATTATTCCTAAGTGACTATTTAATACATTGTTCGTGTTGGTGTATTAATCAAAAAGGTCTTGAAAATAATTCCCAAAAGGTGCTTTGTCTGTACAAACAAAATTTTAAGTGCAAAAACTAATTTTTTTTTACATGAATGTTGTAGGAGCATTTGTCATTTGTATCCAGCATATTTGCATGAATTTCAGTTCTCTTTGCTGTTTTCCACAGTGCAGTATAATCAGCACATTGAAACATGTACTATTTTTGCTGTGCTTTCATAAAAATTCTATATATGGCTCTAAAAACTGTTACGTAGAACTTAAAATTGTCAGAGAGAAGGAAACCAAAATATTTTTAGAGATAATTGGGCAAAGTTGTGGATTTGTTTTAGTAATTGCCGAATAAGTGGTTGGTTTTTTCATAAATTATATTCTTGAATTGTTTACTGAAGCATTTCTTGTGGCTTGGCATTCAGCCACTTCCCTGCATTCCTTTGGCTGTACTCTTCCAATGAATATAATGTCTGCCTATTAAAGAGAAGCTTTAACTGCAGACAAGGATCCACTGTCAAAGAACATCGGGGAGAAAGCTACTTTCTGTCCTAAAAAATGGTATAATCCTCCCAGCAGACTAGCAGAATTTCAAGACGTTGAAACAGTAGCTTTCAAGTGTGATATTTGATGCTTTACTAGCCTTTCCCTGTGAAGAGAAATTATGTTTGAGGTAAGAATTTTAGTGGGATGAAGAAGAAACTACCACAGAGTTCAAATTCTTGAAGACCTTTTTTTTATCCTGAGGAAAAGGCCAGCACAGATGAGCACTTGATGCTGTAATAGCATGGCTTTTGTTCCTGAGCCACTAAGTAAGACAGGGTGTTGGTTCAGCGTTTAAGGAGGCAAATTCCTCAACTGATGTCTATTAAAAAAAAGTAAAAAGCCTTTCCAAAAGTCAAATGGCTACTGTATTTTGTTGTGACAATTCTCAAATCATTTTCAAAAAGAATGTGCTTTTGTGGAACCTAATGGCATTTACTTCCTCTTGTCTCACACATCTCATCAGGTACTAGTATAGCTGACAGCTGAGTGTTCTCTTAGCTTCATTGCTGCCTAAATATTGATGGTTTATGGAGTAATATGTACAAACAAGGTATTCCCTGGCAAGTGATTTACTTCATGGGAAGAGGCTGAACTGAATACGCTGAAGATATATTTCAGATAAGTAATTTTTAAATGAGGTTCTGGAGACAGGAAAACTGTTAAAAATGTTGTTCTGAAAATTGCTTCAAGAAGACAGGTTTTGCAGAGCAATTCTGCAAAATGAAAGCTATTTAGGCTGAAAATTCAGGTACTCGAGAAGCAGTCTTACTCCAAATTTGTGTCAAAATACAGAGTAACTTGGTCAGACTTCAAGAAAAGTTTTGCTGGTTTATTTAGCTGCTGTATTTTGGATTTTTTTATTCAATTTAAACAGTTAAAACTTATAAAAATATTTTTAAACTGTTCATTCAAACAAGTCAACAGACAGACATTGTTTAACCTGAAAAGTCCCATTCTGCACATACGGGTAAATTCTCATATTGCAGTAGTTATATCGGGCATCTTTTTATTAAACAAAAAAAACCCCAAAACTTAGCTTGAACAAGCCAAATCATTTCTGGGTCTTTTTCTGGTGCCCCCCAACACTTCCCTCAGACCATTTTCTCAAACTGGCATGTTACTGAAGATAATGGGCCAAAGATGAGGCACAGATGGAAACAAGTTGTTATTATTATTCAGTAATAACAATGGTCATAGAACAGCTTGGTTGGAAAGGACATTTAAAGGCCGTCTAGTCCAACCTCTTTACAGTGAGCAGGGACATCTTCAACCTCATCATACTGTCCAGAGTTCCAACCAGCCTGACCTTGAGTGTTTCCTGGAATAGGACATTTAACACCTCTGGTCAGCATGCTCAGTGCTTCACCACCCTCATTGTAAAAAACTTCTTCCTTATATCCAAGATAAACCCACCCTTCTTCAGTTTAAAACCATTATCCCTTTCCCATCTCAAAAAGCCCTGCTAAAGTGTTAATGCCCATCTTTCTTTAGTGCCCCTTCAAGTGCTGGAAGGCCTCAATTAGAGGTCCCTGGAGCCTTCTCTTCTCCAAGCTGAACAGTCCAATTCTCTCAGCCATCCCTCTAATTATCTGCATGGTCAGGATTTTTCTCTCCATCTCTCTCTACCCTCTCCTCTTTGCCTCCTCTCACCCTTCCCTCCTCCCTTACTACCCCTCCTGCTGTTTACTCCAGGCTTCAAGACAATTGTGTTTTTCCATCATTGATGATCTAATAATGAAATTCTAAATCCTCTGTGAATAAACAATTTAGAAAATAAAGTGGAAAAAGAACAACTGGGGGTTAATCATGGACAAATTCATCTGGAACTTTCCTCTGCTTCCCTACTGTATTCCCTTTTGCTCCTTAGTAGTGCTCACCTAAATTCTGAAAAAATAGCTAGCACTCTTAAAATAATAAAACTGGCAGAAATAAGTTAGAGAACACATGTATTTCCAGTGCTAGATGACCATGACAGTGAGCATTTCTGTAATTGGAAGACATGTTTGTATTATACCACTAACTTTGTTAACAGCAGTCATCACGTGCTTTGCAGTTGTAATGCAAGTGATTTCCAAGTGCTTTACAGGAAAAATACACATTTAGTTCCAGAAAGATCCTGGCATTCTTAAGCCATACTGGAAGAGCTTTTGAAAGCCGACAGTCTTCAAAACAGTACCCTGGGATATTAATTGCCTGTGTGTAGTGATAAAACCACCACAGGTTCCCCCAGCTGGCTGCACAGGTGGTTGGTAACAACAAGGGATAATTGAGGACCCTTAATTGGGTAGTCCTTTGGCAGAGCTAGGATTTGGATGCCACGTGTGGAGTTTTGCTTCTCTGTTGCAGTAGGTACAGTGCTATTCATTTAATCTGCCTCCTTTATCAGTGTTTCTTCCTTTATCAGGGTTTGCTTTTGTTTTTCAAGAGACCGCAATGGTCCCGTGTGCTCATGCTGAAGGGAATTTGTTGGAATTTGATATGCAGATGAGGTTTCAAAGTGTAGTGGTAGAAGCTGTGAAGTGGGCAAAGAAAATAAATCAAACAATAATTCCTGAGTTGAAGGGTAAAAATATTTATGCTTAAGAATGATTGGTATTAGATGCAGTTATGAGAGGCAGACAGACGTGTGACATAGAAACTGAAGATTGGGATAAAATTAGCCTAACTATTATTTGGAAGTAACAGTGATGGGATTGGAAGTAACAGTGATGGGATTGTTGCTGCTGAAGTCTTTCTGGGCTTTGCAGTTTGTTGTTTGGTGGTGTTTCTTTTTTTTTGGTTGGTTGTTTTTTTGGTGTTTTTTTTTTTTTTTTTTACTTTTATTTCTAAACGGTTAATTTCTTTGTGTTTTCTTTCTTTTTTTCTTTTAGTTCTGAAAGAAAGACCAGGCAAGGATTTCTTTTTTTTCCCTGCCTTTCTAGTCCCCATCACTCATTAAATATTACTTGTTCATTTGCATTTTGCTTTAGGAATTAGAAAGAAAGAGAGAAGGGCACTGGTGCCTGCATTCTAACTGCACATGAGGCAACAACTAACATTAACATTCTTCTTTTTAGCAACTATTTTTTAGGGTTTTATTCTATTTTCAAGTTTTAAGTTTAAAAAGTAAAATGTTTTGTATGGTTTAATGCTGTAATGAAATAACTTAAATGTTAGATATTTCATCAGATATATTATCTGAGCTCACTGT